TCCCTTCCTGATCCCGGGGAGGGGGGGGGGGTTGCACAGACAGCGGCACGGCAACATGGTGAGTCATGCTCGTTTGCTTGCTTTCATTCACAAGAATTCTATCCACTAGTTCAGCTTTCAGTAGCAATATTTTGACCAGAATAGGGGTTTGTTTTGGGGTCCTTACCTTTCTGGGTGACTACGGTCGATGGCAGACATAGAATGTTTCCAACCACACAGAGGTTTCTATAGGCCATTGCTCCTCGTGCCTCTCTGAGAGAGCCAGGTTCAGGCTTATGGTCTCCGGTAGGCCTAGAACTCTATGCACATTGACTGATGCCAAAGTCTAATATATCCATATCAGCCTGGATAGCTCTGGGGAGCCGACGGAGCTTCTCCCAGAAAGAAGGCTTTCCAAAAGCAACCACAAACCGAGGAGAAGAAAGAAACGAAAAAACGCAGTCCAAAGGTCGAGGAGGCTCAGGCAGCACATGAACAGGCCGGAGGTGAAATGCCCAAGATAGCTTGTAGAATGGAGCAGAAAGGACATCCACCCAGAATGCAAAGAGCAGCAACTCCAACAACACTGCACGATAAGAAGCAACAGTAGTAGGCATGAGATGCAGAGCCAGAAAAAACAAGGATATAATAAGCTAGTTTGAAATCGACGAAAACCGACGAAACATCATACTGTCACTGAGACGAAGACCGCAGGTGGGACACCATCAAAGAAGCCCCCCTGATCACCATGCAAATGGCAATACACATACGTCAAAAATGCCAGATGCACAGTGCGGAGCAGTAAAGCAAACCAGTGAGGTACCTCACCGGCCCAACCTGCTGAAACAGGCAGAGGCACAGAAAAACGCCCAGGTTCAGACACCGAGCAAGAAGTGCCTGAAACAAAGGCTGGGCCAGCCACTATGGAGCCAGGAGAATCACACATCCCCAAAAGGATTCTAGCTGAGCCAGAACCTGGAGCAACAGCTGGACCAGGTTGAAGAAGCATAGGAACCCCCACTTAGACCAGTCCTGCTGAAAAGCATCGACAGCGAGTGCCTCTCAGTCGGGAAATGGTACCATGTTCGATGGAAGATGCGAAAATCACGCCGGCACAAAGCGGTCCACCTATGGGTGCCCATACGTCCGGCAAAGCTAAAGGAAGGAATCGGAATCGACTGTCCACTCTGTGAAAAAATGGAAGAAGCACAACAGGCCATCTCTCCCCAAGTGATGTTGGACACTCCCCAAGTGTGAACAGTGCAGAGAGCTATACCCCTAGAACTCAGCAGAAGAGCCACTCAAAGCAACCAGCCCAATAGAGCCACGAACCGAATAGACTCCCCTTCCCCTTGGGTGAGACAAGGAACCACAGGGAAGCAGTCCGAATGAAGCCGGATCACAAAGCCCTAAGGAAGTTGAATCCGCCACAGCGCCCGCCACACAGCCACAAACTCCCGAACCGTGATGTGAGCTTAAAGGAAAGACAAAACCGTCAGTAATTTCAGTGTTATATGACAAACAGTACTGGCAAGATGGGACACCATGAGCTCTCATCCTGTAACTACACTTAAAAAGGGGTTCAGTTCTTGCACCAGTAACGTTCACTGTCTACATAAACAATCTACCAGAAGGAATACAGAATTATATGAACATGTTTGCTGCTGATGCTAAGATAATAGGGAAGATAAGAAACTTAGATGACTGTCATGCCCTTCAAAACGACCTGGACAAAATAAGTATATGGAGCACCACTTGACAAATGGAATTTAATGTGAATAAATGCCATGTTATGGAATGTGTTTATAGGTTGAGAGAGGTCTGTGTTCTCCTATTTCTCCTATGTGAGAAATCTTTATAAAATTCTGATAAAGAGATCTAGGGGTGGTTCTAGATAGAAAACTATCACCTGTGGACCACATAAAGAACATAGTGTGAGGAACCTATGCTACACTGTCAAACTTCAGATTTGCTTTTAAATACATGGTTGGCGAAATACAAAAGAAATTGTCCATGACTTTTGTTAGACCAAAGCTGGAATATGCAGCGTTTGTATGGCCCCCATATCTTAACACCATCGCATGTGCCACGAGAGCGCCGCAGACTTTGACGTCATGGGGCTAATGGTGCAGGCGAGCGTGCGGCGACACCTAAATGTGTATACTCGTTTCAGTTTTCTCACCTTAATTCTCGTGCTACGTCGTTCGTTTTGGTATCATTGTGTTCGCAATTAAATTCCCTGCAGATGTATATGCATATAATGTCCAAAATCCTCGCGAGACTCCCCACAGCAAGCCTAAAATTACCCATGAACGAGCACCAATTTACACACCACAACCTAATGTGTATACTCGTTCAGTTTGATAACATCAATTTTCATGTTACAGAGCACCACTTGGTTTCCGAACTTTAGTTATCCGAAACTTCCAGTTTCCCGATTGGGGTTGGGGAGTCATGCTACCCGAACAAAGTTCGGGTAGGAAGGGGTCCACCAAGCGTCACGCCGGCTTGTGGTGGTGGGTGGGCGATGGTCCAGTTTGCCCACTGTGACTTCACAGATTCACGGCCTATTATTCCTATTATTTTGAATTGCCATAAGGCTGGAATGTTCATTCTGTGCTTTTGTTTTACATATCTGCACAATCAAGAAACATCTGTGCACCATGTTGGCTCCAAATGCACCCATTGCGTCAGTGATGGCTGACTGGTGGGTGGATGGACGATGGAACTTAGGTGGGAGGCAGTATGAATGAGGGGGGGGGGGGAGAATCAGTGAGAGAGGGGGGAGAGAGATGCTAGGAGGGAGGGGGAGGTAGGGAGAGATGTTAGGAGGTAGGGAGAGATGCTAAGAGGGAGGGGGAGGTAGGGAGAGATGCTAGGAGGTAGGCAGGAAGGGATGGAAGTAGTGAGAATTAGGGAGGGAAAGGCAGGCTGGCAGGCACAGGCAGGCAGGCACAGGCAGGCAGGCAGGCAGGCTAGCTTGCAGGCAGGCAGGCTAGCTTGCAGGCAGGGAGTGAGTGGTAGTCACGCGGTTGAACCGCGTGACCTTGAGAGATGGGATGTAGGGGGGCGGGTGGTTTGTTGGTGGTGGGGGTGAGACCGGCTCATTCCCGAAGATAAGCCTAACACACACTACCCGTTAGCATGATGGCAGGGGGGAGGCAGGCTGGCTGGAAAGGAAGCAGGCAGGCTGGCAGGCTGGGAAGGAGGCAGGCTGGGAAGGAGGCAGGCTGGGAAGGAGGCAGGCTGGGAAGGAGGCAGGCTGGGAAGGAAGCAGGCTGGCAGGCAGGCTGGCTGGCAGGCTGGCAGGCTGGCAGGCTGGGAAGGAGGCAGGCTGGGAAGAAGGCAGGCTGGGAAGGAGGCAGGCTGGGAAGGAAGCAGGCTGGCAGGCTGGGAAGGAGGCAGGCTGGGAAGGAAGCAGGCTGGCAGGCTGGGAAGGAGGCAGGCAGGCAGGCTGGGAAGGAAGCAGGCTGGCAGGCTGGGAAGGAGGCAGGCTGGCAGGCTGGGAAGGAGGCAGGCTGGCAGGCTGGGAAGGAGGCAGGCTGGCAGGCTGGGAAGGAGGCAGGCTGGCAGGCTGGGAAGGAGGCAGGCTGGGAAGGAGGCAGGCTGGCAGGCTGGGAAGGAGGCAGGCTGGGAAGGAGGCAGGCTGGGAAGGAGGCAGGCTGGGAAGGAAGCAGGCTGGCAGGGTGGGAAGGAGGCAGGCAGGCAGGAAGCGATATATGGGTGTTGAAGTGAACTGTGAACCACGTGACCTTTGAGAGTGTGTGTGTGTGTGTGTGTGTATGGGTTTGGGGTGGGGGTGGTGTGTCGGTGGTGGGGGGAGAGGGGGAGGTGTGTCGGTGGTTGGGGGAGAGGGGGAGGTGTGTCGGTGGTGGGGGGAGAGGGGGAGGTGTGTCGGTGGTGGGGGGAGAGGGGGAGGTGTGTCGGTGGTGGGGGGGAGAGGGGGAGGTGTGTTGGTGGTGGAGGAGGGACCGGCTGACTCCGTAAGCCTAACCACACTCCACAGACCTGTGACCCAGATTTGTTTCTTAAATGTACAGTACATCATCGTATATTTTAGGCAGGATGTGCCTGCAGGCTGGCAGGAAACATCCAGAGGATGTTTGCCAGACGTCTTAATAATCAGTTAGGAACAATTAAGGACTTTTATAAAGCGGATCAGGACTTCACTTATTGATGAGTACAAACAAAACACGGTCGCATTTACGCCATGAACCTGACGATTTTTTTCCCTAGAGTTTTTTTCATAAATTTTTCGGAACAATTTCTTTTTACATTTCTAGTTTATTTTTTCCCCTCTATTTCTCGTATACGAACTTACATGTTAACCGACGGGTCTCGTCCCCAAGGGGTTCGGAAACCAAGTGGTGCTCTGTACATCGCTCGTTTTGGTATCAAATTGTTCGCAATATAAAGGCGCGCATTTTAAAACTAGTCCCATAATAATAGCACAATAGAATTTTAACAAATATTTTAAAATTTAAAATTTAGACCCAAAAACATATTTATAATCTTTCAAGTGTTCTGACATCAAGTTTCATGTTACATCTTTCATTTTGGTATCAAATTGTGCACATTCTAAAGGCGCTTGTTTTGAAACTATCCCGAGGTCGATCGGATAAAAAATGAATTTTATACAAATATTTTTGTAGTGGATGAGCCGTTAAATATGCCAAAACTAGAAGACAGAAGAAAAAGAGGCGATATGATCACTACACACAATATAGTAATGGGAATTGATAAAATTGCTAGGGAAGAATTCCTGAGACCTAGAACTTCAAGAACAAGAAGTCATAGATTTAAACTAACTAAACACAGATGCCGAAGAAATATAAGAAAATTCACTTTCAAAGAGTGGCAGACGGTTGTTAGACAAGTTAGGTGAGTAGGTGGTGGAGGCCAAGACCGTCAGTAATTTCAAAGAGTTATATGACAAAGAGTGCTGGGAAGACGGGACACCACGAGCGTAACTCTCATCCTGTAACTACACTTAGGTAATTACACACACACAAAATACTTACTGTAACAAGAGCTCACGTGGGACTTTCTTATTTATCAAGGCCTCGTCGTCCGAAAACACTTTGGTCAACTGAAAGTAGAAGCATGTACATTACTGAACAGAAAACTGATAAAATATTCCTTGTAAAAATTTTAATCAAATGTTTTTTTAGAGAAAATTTGTCTGCAATGTGGCTATCAACTCTCCGTGCTTTTGCAGATGACCCAAAATAACATTCTTGTGTTTAGCCCTTACACCGCGCAATACATACATATATGACTTGACAAAAAATAATTTAAGGTAAGTTTTTGCATAATCAACTAGGCAAATGCTCCAACTTTGTCTAAATGATTACAGCATAACTTGAAAAACCAGAGAATCAAAATTAATTTTAAAATTGAATATTGAAAACTTCAGATTTTCAATTCAGAATAAAAAATATGAACTATCATTAATTGTTCCTTTAACCCTCGTATGGCGCCTGGCTATTTAGCAGGTGTCACTCACAGACGCATACCAAAAAAAAAAAAAAAAAAAAAAAATTCTTCTAAACCTGTTAATTTGTGTTCATTGATCATGAGAAAAATAATAAAAAAAATAGTAAGTGGCATATATTGCCCGCTATAGGGCGGGGAAGTCTGGCAAAAAATAGGCGCTGACTCAGCATGCGTCCCAGGCAATCTGTTGCTCGCCAGCTGTCAGGCCGGAGTTGCCACAAAGAAATAATTACCTAATTATTTCAATGTCTCTGATTTTTCGTAGTTTTTTTGTTGTAATATTATTCAATAGTGTGTAGTGTGATATATTTATATAATAAAATGTGTGAATCATCACTGTACTCAAAAATATGGTGTGCATATTGTTGATTCAATTATGTTCATCAAACAGTGAACAAATACTTTGTTGGTTATTACACCATATACACAGGTTATATACAAGTATCTGCATGTTTTGTTCACCATAACGAACCACTAAGTTGCTATTATGAGTCAAAAAGTAACGAGGAGTGACCGCCACACACCAGCCAGCCACTCACTCCCTCCCTCAACACCTCACTTGCCCACATTCTCCTCCCACCATACTGTTTTTTGCTTTTATTCACTATATACAGATGTTATATATAAGTATCTACATTCGTGTTCACCATAACGAACCACTAAGTTGGTATGCTAAGTGGCAATGGCAATGGCAGCCAGTGGCAGCCCACCACTGGCTGCCACTCCCTCCCTCCCTCACCTCACCTGACTTGCCACCATTCTCTTCCCACCATACTGTTTTTGCTTTTATATACAGATAATATATATAAGTATTTACATGTTTTGTTCACCATAACTGTACATCTAAGCTTGTATGGTGAGTAAAGGCACAAAGACGCAGCTACTCACACAGTCAGCTAGCTGGTGGCAGCCGCCCTCAAGGCCAGGCGCACTAATATTTCTCCTCCAACAATACTGTTTGTAGTGTTATTACGCTATATACACACATTATATATAAGTATCTACCTGTTTTATTCACCATACTTGTACAAGTAAATTGGTATGGTGCCCAAAGACCATAGTGGTCACCAGTAAACAACATGATAAGTCGTGCAGACGACGCCGCCGCCCTCACCAAAATGGCGGCTCCTAACCTACTCCTCTTGCTGTTTATACCCTCTATACACACGTTATATATAGCTATCTACATTTGTGTTCACCATAGCGAACCACTAAGCTGGTATGGTGAGTGCAGTCAATAAAAGGTGGCCACACACAGTCAGAAGACAACGCCACCACCCTCCCTCCCACAGCATTACTCCTCCCTCCATGGAGCACAGTGCTAAATATCACCACAATCCTGCTATTATCAGAACCCAGGTCAGTTTTATCACAGTAAGGGGTCTTCTGTAATAATATCATCGCTACATAATAGCAAGAACAAGTATATTATGGCATTTTTAGGCGATGCTGTGGACACTAGCTGAACAGCAGTGCTGTGAACTCATGCTGCGTGCGTCAGGCTTGGTAGCTCACTCAATACTGAGGCCCCTAACACCCGGGAATTTGGCCCACGATTTTTAAAAAAAATGGCGTCTGTTTACAAGAGCCCTAATGAAGGTGTGGTGAACCCCGTGTATTCACGGGCCGTTTAAATCTTGTGTAGTACTCCAAAGCATCATATGATGCGATGCACAATTTACTGCAAGTCGGTCAAAGCATCATATGATGCGATGCGCAATTCAAGGGTTAATGTTATTATTCTCTCAGAATAGCATATGATCTTCAATTTCATTAAATTAGAATATAGGTTTTCAGTATAGTTTACTGTAAAAAAACATCGGCAATAGGACATTTTAAATATGCAGCAAATTTAGACGAAAAAACCAGTGTTGAATATAATGAAATGCCATTTTCTAGGCGAGACCCGGAGGCTCCCCGGAGCTTTACCAGGCTGATATGCTAATGTCAGACTTTGGCATCAGTCATGTGTATGGAGTTCTAGGGCCTACCGGGGACCACGGCCAGAACCTGGCCCCCTCAGAGAGGCAAGGGGAGCAATGGCCTATAGAAACCTCCGTGTGGTTGGAAGCATTCTATGTCTGCCATCGACCGGGTCAAGCATCCAGAAAGGTATGCATTCCAAAACAAACCCCTATTCTGGTTAAAATTGCTACCAAAAGTCGAACTAGTGGATAGAACTTGCCAACAGAAAACAGGCAAACTAGTATGACGTCACACGTCACCGAGTTGCTGTCTGCGCAGCTCCCCCTCCCCGGGAGGGGGAAGGGGGACCCCTAGACCTCTCACGCCGGCTATCCACCCATCAGTTCTGAGGCTGGATGTTAAAACACGCGAAAAAACACCGACAGGAGAGAGGGAGGGTTGCCGGGGAGCCGCAGGGTCTCACCCAGAAAATGGCATTTCATAATATTCAATGCTGGTTTTCTGGGGGAACCCTGTCGGCTCCCCGGAGCTAACTACTCACAGAGGAAGGTCAAAGGGAGGGAACCGGGAGGTGGACACCACACACCCCTCAACAGAAGCGAGACAACTGGCAGCCAACGCCAACCCAAGGGGACACACCCCAAAAAAGGGCCTGGGAACTACACGAGACGACACGCATCAAGGCCCCTGTACGAACACCAAAGATCCGTGCCCAAATGACAGCAAGGACACACCGCCTAGATGGCAGCAAGAGCAGCGAAGCCACGAACGCCACGGGCATGGGGAAAGAACACAGGCAGGCTAGCCGCAAGAACATGGCTGACAACCCGGGACACCATCACCCGCGAACAGGGAAGAATGGAACCGGATCAACTCAAAGCATGCCCCGGACATAAAGGCCGTGGCACGCAAATAACAGCTGAGGGCCGCCACTGAACACAAATCACGACACACCCCCGGTCCAACCAACCACGCACCAACAACCCAAGGCCCCCTCCGGAACGCAGCAGCCCCAACCCGTGCCAGAAAAGATGGAGACTGCTGCCACCGAACAGCCAAAACGCCAAAACCGAAGGAGCAGAAAAACCCCTGCAGAGGAGCAAGAAGCCCAGCGACCCGACCCACCAGAGGCAAATGCCAACAGGAAAAAAGAACCGACGAAATAACAAACCGGAACCGAAGGGGCACCACCAACCGAGGAGAAGACAGCCCGCTGACCAGAGACCAGGACGGTGCAAGCGGCGCACGAACAGGACGGAGGTGAAACAATGCACGAGACAGCTTACTAACGGTGCAGAGGCAACACCAAGACCGAAAGCAAGCTGAAGCGACTCTGCCAACGCTGAACGAAACGAGGCAACAGTACTGTACATGGCAAGACGACGGCCCCCAACCCCCACCAGAAAAAACCAAGCCAACGCTAACAACTGCAGCCACCGAAGAAGGGATAGGAGGAAAAGGAAGAACCGCCAAAATACCCCATACTGCCTCCAAGAAGTACGCAGGTGGGACACCTACCACGAAACCACCAGACCACCAACCGGAGGTGAGACACGCGAGGCAGAACATAAGCAGCCCCGACAAGGCACCTCCGACCCTAGGGAAAGGCGGAGCCGCAAGAAGATCTCGGGCGCGACCACCAAAGCCCAGGAGGCACAAAGGAGATTGAACGTCTGCCGAACAGAAAGCTCCCCAATGCAAGCAAGCCCGTCAGATCAGAAACGATGGGTCCAACGCAAGATATCGCAAGATCCTGAAAAACCAACCGGCAGGGCAAGCCAGGAAAACCGAAAAAGGCGTAAGGGTTGCCACCAGAACAGTACCCGAACCAAGGGGTACGAGCAACGAAAACAGACCAAGACACATAAGTGCACCATAGGACACAGGCTGAAAGAATGCCCAAGAAGCCAAGGAATGCACGAAGAACACCCGAAGAGCGGCAGAGGAGGAAACAAAGGGAACGCACAAGGAAGGGAAGCGGCAGAAACCGACCCCCCCATCCCACCTATAGCAGCAAGAGCAGGCAAAATCGACCAAAGGAGATGCCAGGGAAGCGACTGGGAAAAAGCAGGATGAAAGATCCAAAGCTCAAACCCCAGGAAACAACCAGGGGTGGACAATCAGGCAGGGACAGAACCCCACGCACATGAAAGGGCCAAGCCAGGGACTCGAAGATCGCGAAAAATAACAAACAAACCCCCCGACACAAACCCTAGGCACAAAACAGCAGCAAAGTGCCACACCACAACCGGACACAGGAACAAAGACATGCCACCGCGAAACACGTTACCAATAAACACGTGCAGCAGCAACATGCACCACCGCAACACGCAACATGTAAGTAGCAACTTGCCTCTGTAAAGGCAGAGAACGATGCAGGCAGACCCCAGACAGGGCCAACGGAGACACGACAGAACCCAGCAGGCCCACGAATCTGCATACCCAGCGACCGAAGGCGGAGATACCAGCCCGATACCTGTTGGATGGGGTTCAGGGAGTTCATTTACTCTCCAAGCCCGGCCCGAGGCTAGGCTTGACATGTGAGAGTTTGGTCCACCAGGCTGTTGCTTGGAGCAGCCCGCAGGCCCACATACCCACCACAGCCAGGATGGGCCGGAACCTCTATTCGAAAACAGGCTTTACAGGAAAACAATTCCTTTAAGTCCA